CTAGCCTGTAGCCTGCCCTGGTACAGAGAAAGATTAACTGGCCTGCACAGAGATCAGAGCTGTCCTCATTTGTGCTAACGGGCCCAGGCATGCACTGGAGCCTTCACACACATGGTATCTTGGACATAAATTAGAGAGTTGGGCACAGTGCAGCATTAATTTAAAGACAAGACTCATGCCTAAAAATATATGTTGGAGTCAAACAGCAGGAAAAATAGTAATGAACAGAGAGTTGACAATTTTTTTTGCCAAGTACGGCTTTAAGTCTTTAAGTCTTTATGGGCATAATTATATTTAATCATTGTAACAGCAGGCAGGAGTATGTCCCATTTTACAACTTCAGAAACACAGGCCCAGGAGTCACTGTTTGGTCAAAGGTCATCCTATTTACAATATTTAACATTAGGGTGGTATTTTGGTCATACAAAATGTTTTAGCTGCCTTGACTCTTCCAGGAGCCCCTGTAAGCAGAGCTGATGCTGTTTGTTTCTAGTATCAAACAAGATAGTTGAAACTGTCAGAAGTGAGTGCTAACATGGCCAGTCAGCGCCCCAGGTCTGCTGGGAGCCTGTGCCTTCTGACGTCCAGGCCAGCGTCTGCTCCCCCACACTGCGCTGTGTCACAGATGACATACAAGATGACTGGACTTCTGAGTGGGACTTCTGCTTTGCTGTCCTTGTGCTGCAGGAGGAAGACCTCCTCACTCCAAACTGGAAGCCGTAGACAACCCTAAAGAGGGTGGAGGGCCACATAATGACAGGTCTGTGAGTGGGGCCAGGGGTGTGTGTGCTTCATGTGGACAGACAAACAGATCTCCCAGCTGTTTTCCACAGTCCCCAGTGGAGGACACCACCACCTTTTTGTACCAGCAAGAGTTCTGTCATCTTTATTTGGTTTCACAGACTTTTCCAGGCACTTTCTCCTTCTACTGTAAATACTCATGCCTGTGTTACCTTTTTTACGGGGTGGGGCCTTTTCCCTGTCAGCCCCTCAGGCAGCCTCTGGGCACCCACTTTTCAGACAGTTGTGATATGCATCTATTTTTCTTTTGAACCTAGAGACTTGATTTCCTTCCTCCTTTTCTCTCCTTCCTGTCATCTGACTCCTGTTCATCCTGAGAGGTCATCCCCTCAGGGGCTCTTCTGGATATACCAGACTTGGGTGGCCAAAAGGTGACCTGTGACACTTGCATTCTCATTCTTCACTTGGCCTATAACCGGCAGGGCATTGGTTACATACACTGCGGCTTCCTAGTACAGAATGCCAGCAATCACAATGGCAACGGTCACTGAGAGCCTCTCTTTATGCCAGGCGTTACTCTAAATGCTTTAGATTCATTTTACAACATTGGTCCTCAGAACAACCCCAGTGAGAGCATGGTCATTATTATTCCCATTTTATACATGAGGAAACTTAAGGCCCTAACCTAACGAAGGTTAGGTGTGTATCCCCAAGGTCTTACAGCTGATAATGTGCCAGTTAGGAACTGAATACTGTTCTCCTTCTAGAGCCCGTGTTCTTAACCGCTGCACTGTGCTGTTTGTACATTTGGGGGCACTGATTGTATGCCAGGCACTGTTCTAAGGCGTGAGGCATTGCTGACTCACTGAATCCTCCCGGCAGCCCTGGTAGTCCAGGCATGACGTTGCCTCTGTGCACAGTGGTGTTGAGTTGTTTGTCCAGGACCATCACAGTAAATGGCCCAGGTAGGATTTGAATGAAGGTCTGTTGGCCCAGAGCCCATGCTCCAACCGTCCACATCACACCACTTATCTTTAGTGTCTTTGATTTTTGGTCTCCTAGAAGTCTCTGCTTTCTGTTAGATGTATACCCGTCGAGAGCAGGGCCTGTGTATAGTCACCCTTTCTGCCTTGCCTGGTCACAGCCTGCCTTAGAGAAGCTACTCAGGAAACATGTTGCTTTGAAGGAGTATCCAAGGCAGCAAAATGGGTTAGGTACCTGTATTAAATGCATAAGTCTAGCTGAAGGAACCATTGAATCTGCCGAAAGTGAGGTAAAAAAAAGGAACAAATTGTCCTCATTTTTTAAGTTATATAATAAATGTTTGCTCCACCATTAAAATTTCCCCACAATCCCAAGGAAGAGATGGATGAAGAAGCCAGGAAAGGAAAAAGTGAGGTCCCATTATGAACTCTGCTTCTGCCCTCCTATTTGAGATTGGAAATGCTATTATGACCAAAGCTTTCCATCACTGCAAACCTCACTGGCGATGTAGAAAACGCACGTTTTCATCATAGAGTCCGGCACAGAGGTTTTGCAGTCCTTGCAAGAAAACCCAGCAGCGCATGGTTAGGATGCCATCTGGAGGTGGCAGGTGGTGGTACCACTCTCAGGTCTAAGCATCTCGCAAAATACATTTCCTAGTCAGTCACCAAAGTCCCATTTTGTGATTGTTTCTCTGCTGAGTTCAGGCTTGGATCAAATCAGTACTTGTTTTCTGTTCCTTCTGTTCAAAAATTCTATCCTTTATATTCAGATAGCCAAGTCCAATTTGGAGCTGTTTTACCAAATTTAAACCCTTGAACAAAAGTAGTGAATATCATCAGTATGAAAGCAGACATGCAATGCTGGGGGGTGGTAAGCAAATACCCTCATCCCAGGGGAGAGAGATGTGGTCACAGTCTGGTGGAGAGATGCTGGGGTCTGGGTGAGGAATGGAGGGATAGAAGTTTTCCTTTTGCCTTATATGCTTGTTTGCAGCTACATTGTTAAGATTTGCTGGATGATGCGGGAAAGTAAGTGGCAGCCTACACCTGGGTCTTCAAAAGGCAGGTTTATTTTGCCAGAATTTGCATAATGGATGCTATTTAGCCTGGGCAGAGTTTAGCTGTAAACATGAGTGATCACCTAATCTCTGATTTTTTTCCCATTCTTCAGGACGGCAAAATTTTTATTCTAATTTTTTGCAGGACAACAGAACTGAGCTGAGCCATAAATACTCATTCACTCCAGATCTCTGCCTCCCACTAAGCAGTTGAAACAGACAGTTATTCGTCCCCTCCTTAAAAAATCCCCAACAAAGGAAAATTCTGTTTCTTACTTGTTCCACTGTCGAGCATGATCTTTCCCTGTCAGGTCTAAATTTTTCATGAACTAGTTCCTTAAAACCTTTTTTATGGTAAATTTGCTTATTTTAATCTTCATATATAAGATGATAAGTATTTTAAACTTTAGCTTTTTCAAAAACAAATATTACTGAATATCTGGTTGTCTACAGGATTCTTGGTGCTTCTCCACCTAGTGTGACTCAGTCCCTTTCTTCGTAGAGGGTATTTCTTAGCCTTTTGAAACTCAGGCCTTCCGTTGTTAAACATGAAATCTCTTCCTTCTGCTCTGATGCTTTTCCTACCCCTCTGTCCTCCTGCTGCCCAGCCATGGCCCCACTTAGATATAGTGACTCTTCTGTGTGTCTTCACCAGTCAAGAGGATTTTTTCTAAACAGCTTTATTAAGATGCAATTCATATATAGTTCACCCTTTTGAAGTGTACAATTCAGTAATCTTAGTATCTTCACAGACATATTGTGCAACCATCAGTACAGCCAATCTTAGGACATTCTCACCACCTCAAAAAGAAGCCCTGGCCCATTAGCTATCACCCTCCCCTCCCAGTGCCCCCAACACTGAGCAACCACTGATCTACTTTCTGTCTTTCTATATTTTTCTATTCTAGACATTTCATATATACAGAATCCTATAATACATGGTCTTTTGTGACTGGCTTCTTTTACTTAGCATAATATTTTCAAGCTTTGTCCATGTATGTATCAGTTCAAGCATGTATCAGTATGTAATTCCTTTTGTGGCCAAAGATTTCATTGTATGGATATATTACATTTTGTTTATCCATTTCTCAGTTACTGGACATTTGGGTGTTTCCATCTTTTAGCCATTATGAATAATGCTCCTGTGAACATTTGTGTATAAGTCTTTGGATGTATATTTTCATTTCTCTCCAGTGGATATCTTAGGAATGGTATGGCTGGTCATACAATTATTTTTAATCATTTGAGAAACTGCCAGGCTATTTTCCAAAGTGGCTGGCTGTGCCGGTTCCATTCGCACCAGCAGTGTATGAGCGCTCCCATTTCCCCACATCCTCACCAACACTTGTTGTCTGTCTCTTTGATTCTAAGGGTGTGTGATGTTTCCTTGTGGTTTTGATTTGCACTTCCCTAATGACTAATGACATCCAGCATCTTTTCATTTGCTCTTTTGCCATTTGTGTATCTTCCTTGAAGAAATGTCTTTTTACATTCCCTGCCCGTTTTGAAAATTGGGTTATTTTCCTTTTATTGTTGCATTGTAAGAGTTCTTTATGTATTCTAGATAAACGTTCCATATCAGATATATGATTTGACAGTTATTTTCTCCCATTCTGTGAGTTGTTTTTTCACTTTCTTGTTAGTGTCCTCTTAAACACAAAAGTTTTTAATTTTGATGGGATTCAATTTATCATTGTTTTTCTCTTGCAAGATTTGTTTTTTCTTTGGTTCATGTCACAGAACTGTTGGGTATATTTTCATTTCCCAAATGTGAAATTACAGAAAACACAGTGTTTAAAAAACTGCAAAATACAATTCCCTCTACTACCACTCAGAACCATGGACTGAGCCAGGGGTTTTCTCCCCAGTGCTTCTTTTTATAGGTCCTTCAACTATTTTGTATTTTTCTTTCAATTTTTTGCTTGCTTCTAACTCCAGAATCTTACACTTAGCAGGGAATTCAAAATAAAATCTCAACTAACATTTAAAAAAAGAGAAGAGGTAACGTTTTGTAGGCCTTATGGATGTTCTAATCTTAAATACCTGTTAGATTTTTAAAACAACTGTACATAGTCATTTCACAATATTCCGCCTTCCCAAAGACCACTGTATGCTCCCGCTGTACAGAGCAAGTCTTCAAACTGGATGGTCACAGGGAGTGTGAGAGTGAAAGGCGATAGCTCTCACATGGACCATCTTTCTTCCCTTCCAACAGGTGTGGCAGATCCCAGAAAATGGACTCACCCTTTCCCTGACTGAGCCTGTGGTGATTTTAGAAGGCCACTCAAAGAGGGTTGGCATCGTGGCCTGGCATCCGACAGCCCGCAACGTGCTTCTTAGTGCAGGTAGGAGCTGAGCGGTCCTCTCCTCCCCCCTTGCCAAGGTGTCTTGCAGCCCCTTGTATGGAGGAGAGCAGCAAATGTGGTCTGATAGTGTCTGTACAGTTTTGAGGCGGGTTGTCAGGAGTCCGTGATGAGATGCTGCGATGCGGTGGTTCTCTAACATGCACACGTGGGTTAAGGCCACTTTGACTGTCGATGGATGCTGTAGTCGCCCTGTGTGGAGAAATGAGCAAATACGTACCTACTTACCTGTGATTTCAGCAAGTTAATGGTACCTTCTGGGCCCCCCCAGGGACCACATTCTTAACTATTCCTGATAAAGCAGAAGGAAACAGGGCAGGAGTTGGGAGCCCTGGGCTGCCAACTCCAGGGGTGATCCTGTTAGGCAAATATTTTCCTGCCTTGCAAAAAATATTTTCATTTTTCTCCTTTAGTACATGTATGTCACAGAAAATATATATTAGCAAAAGAAAGAAAATGAAAACCACTTGTAATCTCACCACCCAGAGGGAACATCATCATTCTCACTGGATGTTTCTTTCCGCATTTCTATGCACATACATGAATGATTTTACACACACAAGTGGGTTTAGACACTACATGTGACCTGCTTTCTGCACTCATTGGTATACCATGACCCTTCTTGTGTGCCATTAAGTGTTCTTCCTGTGATATTTTTAACACCATTAACAGTCCATTGTCCAGATACCTCCGTTTATTTAATCAGTCCCCTATTTCTGGACATGGAGGTTGTTTCTGATTCTTCACTGTTAAACAGCACTACAGGGAACCCTTGTGATAAGTTCCAATGTTCTTACTGGTTTCCCACTCCAGTAGCTTCCAAGTTTTATCTTATAAAAATCTTTTCTTTTCTCTAAAATTTGACATTTCATCTTTTTTGAATTGCTTTTCTAGAAGCAATTCAAAGGACACAAGGCTTAGTGGAACTGTGGAAATGTTCTATATCTTGATTATATGATGGCCACATGAACATTTGTTGAAACTTAGTAAATCTATACTTAAAATGAGTGCATTGTATTGTATGTAACTTAAACTTTTAATAAAATTGGTTTATGAAGGAAGGAATACTAATGTTAGTGGCAGAATTCTAGAGATCATTCCCCTCAACAATTAAAAGGAATGGGGAGTGAGGAACAGTTCAGTTTTTAACTGGGAGTAGAGGGTGTTAATGATATAATAATTTAAATGAGAAAATGTACTGCCAGGTACCTATGAAAAGCAAGGACTAGTTTTTTTTTTTTAAGATGCTACATATAGTTTTCTCCTTTTTCAAAATCACAATTGGACTACACCTGGCAATCCTTCTGATGTTCTACTCAGAACTTCAGTCTGCTAGGAGATAAAACGATCCTAAAGTTTGAACTCCATCCTGGAAATGTCCTGCTGCCCTTCTCATCAAGGTCACACACGGTGCCATCAGCAGCCTGACCCCCACTCTCCCTTTCACAGGCAAAGGAGAATAGGTAATGGCAGTACTCTGCATCTTTTAAGACAAAACGATCCATCTGTGGTGGCTGAAGTTACCTGTTTGCCTGTGATGAACAAGGCAGAGGAAGGGTCAAGTCTCCATCCGAGTTCAGCTCCAGCTTTCATCCTGCTGTGTGGTTTTTTCTTCAGTTGTACTTGTAACTTTTAGGCAACTCAGGTGTCCAGATATTATGGCACACAAAAAGGACCACAGCATGCCAGTGAGTGCAGAAAGCAGGTCACGTGGAGTGTCTAAACCCACCTGCTTGTGTAAAATCATTCATGTATGTGCAGAGAAATACCCCCAATTTTTCTGAAGTACCTGCAAAATGGAATTCACCTCTAGGATGTCCATGTCTTATTTTGCTTCATCCTTAAACTTAATGTCCTGGAAGTTAGGTGCCTCTCTTTAAAGGAGCCTCAGAGACGGGGCGGGGGGAAACTTGAAGGAAGGCGGAGCTGAGGAGCCGCATGGTTGTGACTGAGTTGGCATTGCGGCCTCTTGGGAGCAGGGCCAGTTTCTGAATCCACATGCATACTTGATTATAGTTTATGGTTTGGGCTTCTCAAATCAGGCCAGTCTTAGCTTATTTTTCTCCTCTTTGAAAGGTAAAGATCTGTGGTGAGCAAATGGTTAGGCCAGTCTTTACATTTCCTTCTCATTTACTACAATTTACCGTGCTTTAATCCAAGACTATGTCTCAGAGCATTACTGGTTTGAATAACCTGCCGTTCAGCATTTTTGTTGAGTGTGCTAAACAGTTATTTACATTCTACTTTTAGTTCCTCTGGGAAAGAAAAACCATTCATTCTGATACTACTTTTACTAGAAAAGGAAATGTACCATCGCTTGGGGTCCACCAGTCCAGTTAACTCAAAACCATGGGATTCTCTTTTTTTTGCAGTTGTTTATTGGTGGGGTTTTTTTGTTTCATGTGAACCCAGACGTAAGCTGTGTTACTCCTTAGTATTTCTTTTATACAAATGTCTTTTTTCTTTGTCACGTCAGCTTTTAATTCACCGTAAGTACATACGGCTTCTTAAAATAGGCGCCTTCCTTTCCGTGAACATATATCCTCCCTGTATGTGTAGTTTTCACAAATGTGCTGTTGTACAGATGTTTCTACTCTCTGAGGGTGTGGTTTTGCTGGCTTTCAGGCTGTGATAATGCCATCATCATCTGGAATGTGGGGACAGGAGAAGCCCTTATAAACTTGGATGATATGCATTCAGACATGATTTACAATGTCAGCTGGAACCGGAACGGCAGTCTGATCTGCACGGCTTCCAAAGACAAGAAAGTGAGAGTCATCGATCCTAGGAAACAGGAGATTGTTGCTGTAAGTATTTGTAGGACAAAAACCCTGGTGTTTGCAAGCACTTCAATGAGTGAACTTTCTGGTTTCCCAGGCAGGCCCCAGTTTAATAAAGGATACCGTAAGGGATACAAGCTAACAGTCAGGTGAAGAGAGACACAGGGCGGGGTCCCAAAGAAAGGAACTTCTGTTCTCATGGAGCCAAAGTTTTTATCAGTTCACCAGAGTCCTTAAGAATTTACAAGTCTAGATTAGCTAACTCAAATAATTAACTGCAGTCCTGGCTTAGTGCTGAATATTAATGAATTGATACCCTACCCTGTTCCAGAAATCATCACGAAGGTGTGTCACAAAGGTGCACCAGGTTCTGTCATCAGCTCAGTGTCTTAGTTTCTGCCACCCAAACTAGGCCTCCCCAAATCGCGAACCATGACAGAAGATCTGGGACTTTAGTGAGGGTTGAAACCGTAAGTGTTGAATCCAAGAATGCCTCATGACAGCCCCATGCCGAGGCCCTGGAATTGCGCCTCTCCCGATAAGATGGTTCTTCAGCAGGATTACTTCTTGCGGGTCGGGCAGTGATTGTGGCTGGTCCATTTCGAGGACTGGTGCCCCGTGCAGAGTGGTTTCTCCACTAGAACCTTTAAGAGCTAATGCCCGTCCGTGCACTCTCACTGAGCAAATGAGGTTAAGGAATTGGGTTAATAAACTAGACTTCCTCTGTCCTCCACAATTGGTGAGAACTGCAGATTCTATCCAAGCATTAGGTTATCCTCATGAGAAACACACATTTGGCAGAGCCCTTTCATGTGTTTTATTTTTGCAGTGCATGGCCTTGGGATAGCAGCTGGGTGTGGTGGGAGGATGGAGGCCTTCTTGCTTGCTAACTGGCTGAGGGACCTTGGCCAGATCACCTGGCATCTCTGTTTCCTCTTCTAGGGAGGGAGGTGGTTAACCCTCCCTCTCTCTCTCTCTCTCTCTCTCTCACAGGTGGAGTGTGGCTGGATTCTGTGTATGAGCCCTCACCCTCCCACCCTTCCTTCTTGTAGTTTGATTTTTCTTTTCTCCCCAGGAGAAGGAGAAAGCACATGAAGGAGCAAGGCCCATGAGAGCCATCTTTCTGGCTGATGGGAATGTCTTTACCACTGGCTTTAGTCGCATGAGTGAACGGCAGCTGGCTCTCTGGAATCCGGTATGCCCTTTGCGGCCTTCCCACTGGCTTACACTTGAGCTTTCTCTTTTCTGAGCAGGTTTTTGGGGTTAGTAAGTAGATTATGGGCTTCTTAGTGTAGTTTTCTGAACTCCTGCTTATCTTAATTGGATGTGATGTTCTTACCCTCATTGGAGACTTATTTGCTAACTGTGTTACAAAAATGCATTCTTGATACGCCCAAGGAATCTCTGTCTTGACTATATATTTTTAAAAGAATGCATGAAGAATCCAGTGTTTTTAGACTTGGGACATAAGTTCTAATAAAGTGCCTTAATCAAAGTAGTCATGCTCAGGAAAATGTTCACAATAGCACAGTGAAAAAAAAAGATTCTAAGAAATAATTCCAATCTGTATGTTTACATGTGTGTCAGAAGGAACTAGACCAAAATGGTAATTGCTTGTGCCACCCACTGGACTGTGGGATTATGAAATATATGATGACTTTTATATGCTTCCTGCATCTTTAACTTTTTTAAGAACACATATCTATTTTGTAATAAGGAAAAGTGCTTGTATAAAAAAGAAAGGAGCCACAAAGGAGAAGGGTTCTCATCTTTGTCATGAAATCACACTGATTTGTGCATTAATTATGTTGTCAAGTCACAGTTCTCAGTGGAATACCCCTATTGGTGTTTACATGTATGAATATTATATGTCAATTGTTTAAACTTTCATTCTAGGGAAATGGCTAAACCTAATTAGGGATAAAAGAATGTATGTTACAAAAATTAATCTCTTAAAAATGTGTGTGTACATGCATGTATATACCTTTTTCCTCCAGAAAAATATGCAAGAACCAATTGCTCTTCATGAAATGGACACTAGCAATGGGGTATTGCTGCCGTTCTATGACCCGGACACCAGTATCATTTACTTATGTGGGAAGGTAAACAGGAACTTTGATGTTTGATACTAAATTTAATCCTGTAAGAGGCAGAGTTTATCCTTCAGAGATTTAGTAGATGGACAATGTTTTGTATCATTTTAATATCTTAGTTTGTTTGGTTTGTATGTGTGTGTGTGTCTTAAGCTAAAATAAGGACAGATGATCTCAGTATGTTTGAGGTCTTTAGACTGGCCCATTAGGAACATGCCAGCTGTGTGGCTGAAGCAAGGATTGAGCTACGGTGCCGGAGCACAGGCCGGCAGAGAAATCTGGGCTCAGGTTGCTGTAGTAAGAAAAAGTTCATGCCGGACTTGTAGAGAGAATAGTGCTTTGTGGGTATAAACCTTGAGGGCCTCAGAGACTCCCCAGAGGGTTTTTGTTTTTGGAGTTCAGTGTGAGGGCCCTGGGGTTGAAAATATGTGGCCTGACTAAAGTTTCAAGAGATGGCAGTTGTTACAGGAAGACTCCCACGGAAATTTTAAGAACCCACCTTCTGCCTTATGATCTCACCCAACTAAAGTGTTGGTAGCTTTATTTTTATTATTACTTCATTTTAGTAGGCAGGAACCTCAATATCCTTATTATTTTAGGTATTGAATATTCCTTAGAATTTTTGTAGTTGGAATAAATGGCTTAATAAAACTGGAGCCGTGATGTAATTCCCCGAGACCTGTTAGATGGCCCATGAAGGGGAGAGCTGGGGCTGCCCTTGTCTGGTAGCTGACTGAGGAGCCCGCTGCAGGCCTGCACTGCAGACTTGGGAAGTCGGTTGCTAAGAAACCGCGATCTTGTCTGTTTCCTTGAAAACTATTTTACTTCAGATATTAACAGCTGCTATAGATTACATCAAAAAAACAAACAAAAGGAGCATTTACCCAGATGTTATTAATAGTAGGTGGAAATTATTTTGAGTTTGCAGAAAATAGTATGCGTTTAGCTTCATTACCATTGCTTTAGGTATTTACATCACTGAAACAAATGGAAATCATAAGGACTGAGAAGAATGGTGAGGGCATCATACCGCCCAGCTACTGTTACCGTATGCATGTATCTCCCCTCTACCAGGAAGGATTGCCTTTACCACTCAGGTTGGTCTAACTGTGTGGCAGTTATTTACACTTTAGGGAAACTGCCATGCTTCAGATCTCCAAGAAAGTCTGACCATTTCTAAGCACAGTTACTCTAGAATGTGATACATTGCAGTCAGGTAGCACTACCTTCGGAAGTTAATGGATACTCACTACAACTGGTATTTCTTAATTAGAAAAAACCTTACTGTTTATGTCACCTGCATATCTGGGGTTAGTGCCCTGGCACCTGGAACATGCTGGTGAAGGAAGACTCAAATAGTAATTGTCCTCCCAGAAGTCCTCCTCGTCTTCTGTTCTGTTCATTCTTGAAGTCGAATTTGGTGCAGTTGTTTGGACAGAGGTGTTCATATTTCACTCTGACTCTGACTTGGTGTCTAGGCTCAGTGAGTAGAATTTGAGCCTTCAGTAGGAGGCAGAGGAGACCCCAGCCAGCGTTTGGTAAGTGAGGCCTTACTCCCTGCCAGGAAGACAGACCACTGAATATCTCAGGCAGACCTCTTCGGAGGAAGAAAAGGTCAGCCGCCACAGCCGAGTTCCTATTAGGCTGTCTTTCTAGGGCAGGGAGACACCCCTGTAATCCATGTGGTTCATTTAACTTTAAAGGCAAACTTGTCTCCGGTTTCTTGTAGGGTGACAGCAGTATCCGCTATTTTGAGATCACAGATGAATCCCCATATGTCCACTACCTCAACACATTCAGCAGCAAGGAGCCTCAGAGAGGAATGGGCTACATGCCCAAGAGGGGACTTGATGTTAACAAATGTGAGATTGCCAGGTAAAGAATTGTTGTCATTAAGTATTCAGATTGTTTACACCATCTGTGTTATTTGTGCAACAGCAATAGGAACTGCAAGTAATGCTGTAGTGCCCGGGCCTTTCTACCCTTTGGTTGTGGTGTGGAGTTGGTATCTCATTTCCTGCCCATGCTTAGCAACATGGAGTGTTAGAGCAACAAGGAACCTTTCAAAATCATTTAATCCAACCATGCCTTTCTCCATTCTTCAGATGATCTACCTTGAGGTGCACCAGTTAGGTGGCTTAGCTGGGGTGTACTGTACACTGTTGAAAGCGAAACCTTCATCTTTTGTTTTCAAGTGGATGCTGTGGCCAGTGTTCCTGGGTGGCATCCAGGGGAAGCCTGTCCCTGAGATGGGAACGAGGGAGGACTTTCCTGCCCTGTGGGGGGATGAACCAGGTTCCAAACTGGGTTGTGGATCCTAAACTAGAGAAGTCAGAGGTCTAGAGTGGGGCGTTGGGTTAGCTCAGTTTAGGAAATTCAGTGAAATGATTCCTGTCTCTCTGTACTACTGTGGGTTTTTTAAAAATTTATATTGCATAATGCTAGCAGGCTTCCTAGGGGACAGGCTTTTTTCTCATACCAGTCAACGGAAGACTCAGACTTATCGACTACTGACCATTTTAAAGCAACAGGATAATAGCACTACATTACTCATTAATGTGGTCATGCCACACATTTGTATAATGCTATGGTTATCTGAGTATGCTCTTTTGGTCACAATTAAATGATTGACACATCTTTAAAAAAATAAAAAATTTTATAAGCCATTTTTATATGAATCCCTGTGACTTTTTAAAAATACACTTAATTCTCTATAGCTGGAGTAATGAAGGAAAGCTGTCACAGATCATTCAAAATTGTGGTTTAAACCAAACTAATCAAAATATGGTTCAAAATAGATTGAATCCAAATTTAAGAGTAAATTGAGTATTTTGGGAAGGTATTTATTTGTTGGCATCTTCAAGTTTAAAAGACTGTCAGCACAATTTGTTAGGACACCTCCTGTTACTGTGTTACTCGAGCATTCAGTATATGCCAGGCACTGTGCTCAACATGCTCAGTCGACTGACTCCTTTCCCTTCTAGTAACAGCCCTGTGAGGTAGATGCTGCTTTTACCCCCACTTTGTGGATGAGGACCTCGGTCTTGCTGAGGTTGTTAGCACTCGCGTGTTGTAGTTGAGCTCAGAGTCAGGCCCCCGGCTCAGTCCTTCTCACCACTGTGCAGAAGTGTCATGCTTAATGTTCCCACTCTTTCCATGTTTTGGATTAATTTCAAATTTTTCCTAAGTCTTATGCATGATGTGGTTTGCTTGGATGCCAGATTTTTAATTCCTAGGATTTTCTTTTCCTTTTTAAAAATCATATTTACGCAACGTATGTTTGCCTGTTTCACATTGGCAGACCTGACATCCAGGCCATTGATACTCTCTAGTATGTAGGCGTTTGACTTGGTAATTTTTTTCAGAAGTGAGTTGTTGGCGTTGGTGCTAACATTTCCATCACAGTTGATCTGCCACCACATACCTGGAATTTGTCACCGTAATACATAGACCATGACTCCCGGTTCTTGTCTCCAGTCTGTCATTCCTAGCCTCGCTGCTCTTGGCTTCAGTTTTCTTATCTGCAAGTGGGGAACGTGAAGTTCTGCCTACCCCCTAGGTGGCTCAGCCGCGGTGAGGGCAGGCAAGCACTTCGTAGCCCAGCCAGCCTGTAGAAGAGCAGTTGTTACTAAGCCTACTACTTGGCCTGTTTCTTAGTGCACCTTACTGCAGCTTTGCCTTTATTTCCCCTTTCAAGATTCTTCAAACTTCATGAGAGAAAGTGTGAGCCTATTATCATGACTGTTCCCAGGAAGGTAAGTGCCCAGTTTTCTAGGTGGTCTGTATACTTTGAGAAAATTTTTAAAATCCCAGACCTTTCTACTGCCTTACCTTTTGGGTTTTCCCAAAATGTCTCTTACAGTCTGACCTTTTCCAAGATGACCTGTATCCTGACACGGCGGGGCCCGAAGCAGCACTGGAGGCAGAAGAGTGGTTCGAGGGGAAGAATGCAGATCCAATCCTCATCTCCTTGAAGCATGGATACATTCCAGGCAAAAACAGGGATCTCAAGGTGGTCAAGAAGAACATTCTGGACAGCAAGCCCACTACAAACAAGAAGTGTGACCTGATCAACGTCCCCAAGAAAACCACAGACATGGCCAGTGTGGTAAGGACCACGGGAGACAGGGATGTGCTTGGCTCTTGAAAGCTCCGTCTTGTCCTGGGCCTCGTTGGGTCTGTCACAGACAGGACTTTCTGTGAATGGTAACACGTTTATGAGAACCTAATCACTTGACATTCAGGACTTCATGACTGTTTGGGGCTCTTTTTGCTGTTTTTATAAAGACCGGGATAGAAGTTGGTCTATTGTCCATTTCTGGGAGTAAACAGGAGCCCTTGGGTTTTTCTTAACTGTCTGCCCAAACTGTTTCCACCCATCTGGTTTGGGTAGAAATGAAACGTGAAAGTCACAGCTGCCAGGAAGAGGGGATTCCCAAGAGTGGTGAGAGGCTCAGATATTGTCCAGCCTCCAAGCGACAGAAACTTAAGAACGAAAACGACTTTGGGCATCTTGACGCAAACCGTTTACATGTTGGTTGGGGAGCTGAAGCCTGATGCAGGGACCCGCCTGGCCACCGGAGGGTGCTGCTGCTGGGCAGGCAGGCTCAGGGCTGGAGGACAGGACAGGGCAGCCAGGGCCGGGAGTTGTCAATGAGGTAAGCAGAATGAGGAGGTAGAGGAGGAGCTGGAATGGGTCACGACTGAGGATACCATGGACTTTGGTGACCACAAGGTTTCTAGAAGAATCAGCCGCATGTTGGGGTCAGCTGCGGTCTCTTTAGAAAAGTTAGCAAGCAGGGCAAGGGGTAGAACCCTCCCTAGGAGGTAGCAGGAGCCTGTAGCCTCTGGAAGCTCACGCCTCCCCCTACTCACGTGGCAGCCACACCTGATGGAGTCGCACGATTGTGCTGGTTGGGTGCAGGGTGGCCTTGAAGGAGTCAGCCTTGGCTTGCAGTGTCCTTGTGTCCCGAGAACACACAGGCACAGGGTCCAGAAGCAGAGCTGGCATTCACCGCTGTTTGCTGTGGGCTGCCAGCCAGACTGACCAGTGTTAATCACTTTCCCGTAGGCCCAGCACAGTGGCTGTGGCTTAGCACTTCCAGAGTAGATAGTCCGTCTTCTGCCTCACAGATTCTTACCTGTGTTGAACTCTGTTTACTTTTCAGTCACCTTCTTCCCCTCCCCCCTTTTTTGTTTCCTTAGCAAAATGAAGCGAAGTTGGATGAGATACTAAAAGAGATCAAATCTATAAAAGACACAATCTGCAATCAAGACGAGCGTATTTCCAAGTTGGAACAGCAGATGGCGAAGATAGCAGCCTGAAGGCCCACTGCACCACGGGAGCAAGGACTTGCGCTTGGTGGCTGGTTGCTGGTGTGGTCCCCGGGGGTGGCAAAGGGAGGCACTGCCATTTGGAGACATTCCATTTCAGATTTGTCAACCAGCGATAGGCCACATTCCAGTACGAACTCAGTTCGTCCCCCAAATTTGCGGAAACAAAATGTGATTTAAAAGCTGAGCTTTTTTATCAGAAAGTTTTTTTGATGTTTTAAGTGTTACGTGACTTGTTGAACTTTTAAAAGACAAAAGTGCTACTTTTAAAATCCCAGATATTCTGAATTTTAGAACACCAACCAATTCTGATTCAGTGTCGTGCCCAAGTACCTTTTTTTTTTCTTTTTACAAACAGGGACCAATGCCACACTGCTTTTTATATTTCTTTTTTTTTTAATGTTGCCAAAACCAAAAGTAGCTTTTTTTTTTTTGTATTTTTGCTACTTTGCAGTATTTGTGGGGTTTTTTTTTCCTTAATTTGAAAGGGACAGCACTGTGTATGTTTATAAACTAAATGAAGATATTATTTTGTATAAACGTTCATCTGAACAATCAGAGCAGTGGCCACTACGTGCTGGCTCACTTGCAGCACAAACCCAGTCACCTTCATGGCTGTACGAGAGGAAGACTTGAAAATATCACGCGGATTCGTATTACCACCCCCATCATTTCATTGAGTCTTCTGATCAAAAAAGCTCATAGCGAGCGTATCGTTTCCCATCTTCCCTTTCTCTTTCCTAGAGATTGCGTGGTTGTACCAGAATGGAATTTTGCTTCTTGGTTATCCTGTGCTTCAGATGATTATACTCTAACCGAAACTAGCATGTGTTTCTGCAGTTCTGTTATCCATGGAGAACCTACTGCATTCCTCACTTGAAACATCATGTTTCAGGTTTTGGTCAGTACTTGACAAGGGCGCCCCGGACAAAAAGCCCCACGTACTGTGGAGTGTTCCTTCCTGCCCATTGCAGCAGCTTGCCTAGCCCTCGAGTACAGCAGGGGACTGCAGACCAGGGCACTTGGAGGGGAGTGTTTGCCCCATGCGATCCTCTGTTTTCCCGCGTCCCGTGCTGTGCTGGGGGCAGGGGTGGCTCGCCCTGCACCGCCAGAGCTCCTGCCCTCCCCTCTTCTCACCTCCGCTGCCACCTGTCTCAGGGCTTCCCCCAGCCATTCCTTCTCTCCTTTCTGCCTTTCAGCCCTAACCACTCAGCTAAGATGAGTGAGGCTGGGGTTGCTACTAAATATTGAGACTGAGGAGAATAGTCTAGAAGGAGCAAGGCCAGGAGCACAGACCTGTGCTATAGCTTTAATGTGTACAAATACATCTCTCTGCACCCTCCATGCAAACGCTTGCTCCACCCCTCCAGCTTACCCCAGGGCTGTGTCAAAGCACAGAGGCTCCCCAGACTCAGTGGGGCCAGAGGCTGAGCTCTGATCACCCGTTTCATTACTAGGTTAGCTAGAACTCTCCATTTCCATTTTCTCATATTGCATGCTGGAGAAACAAGATTTAAGGAGCCTTTGTTTTGGAAGGGCTGAGTGTCTGTGATGGAACGTGAGACGTGTAGTGCCATTGGGACCACGCTGGGGACTCGTGCACCTGCTTGTGCTGTAGGGATGAGCTGGCTGGAAGCATCTGTATACAGGGAACAGGACAGAGGCAGTGTGGGGACGCTGGTTGGAAGGCACAGCCAAGCAGAGGTGATGTCTGTGTAGGAAGGGCACTGCATTTTTTCCCGATATTGGGATTGCTGTCTCCACAATTTCAGGGCCTCAGAATGTTTGGTGTGGTTGTGTGTGTGTGTATGTGTATGTTTTTAATATTGAAGTGGATAATGAGATGTAAAGACAATAATTACAGTGACTTATATTCAAACCTGTATGTGTTTCTTTATCAATGTAATCTGCTGAGGACCTTCATTTTTAAGATCCAGGAATGCTTTAAGGTTCTGATATCAAATTAATTAAGTAAACAAAATTGTTATTGATGGTGATGAAGCACCACAGGGCATGTGGTTCCAAGAGAAGAGGGAGGGCAAGGAAAAGTTTTTCTGGTCTTAGTGTGTAGCTTATGACTTATTTAATGAGCAGATGCCCCGCCAGGCTCAGAGTTGCCGCCTGAAGCTTTGTGGATTACTTTTCCTGTTTTGTCTTTTTTTTTTTTTTAGCCATGCTATCCCAGAGGAGAACCAGTGAATTTACTCCTAGATCGGCTCTTATAGAGCGACCATAGTATTCTGTCAAAACACTTGCTTCCATTTTCAAAGATAAAAAATCATTGATTACAGAATGGTGTCCGTGTTTATTTCACACCTCAGCTGTCTTCAAGGCAGCCCACACCTGTCTGCCTGATGCGTGTCCTCTGACCCAGAGGAACGAGCCAGGTGACTTTTTCCTCTCTCAGGGTGAGTACGGGAAGTGTGGGTGGGCCCTGCTCAGCGCCCGCAGAGTGGAGTGTTTTGGGGCCCTTCCTGACCTGCTGATGTTTACCTCCTGCCTCCTGCCTGGCACAGTGGTGTGATGGGGCAGATTCCTAATCTTGATGAGTCCCTTTTGTTACTGAAAGAGAAATGAGAACTGCGTACAGTTCAGAAGAGAGAAATACTCCGGCTTTGGCCACACAAGGAGCCCTGGCTGCACCGCTGCTGCCCTTGTTAAGATAAGCTGATGCCCCCACAGGGCTTTTGAAAGCATTTTTTTCCTTCAGTAGAAGTACAGTTCTCTGTGCTTGGCTGTGATTTTTATCCCAACAGAAGGTTTTCAGGATCATTTTAATTTCATAGTTTTTTTTACTTCCTTTTTACACTAAAACATTGTCTCATGACTTTTCAGTGACTGTAGGAAAGAATTTCCCATTGTTTGGTTTTTCTAAATGTTTATAAATATGGTGAATAATTGGCTTGAAGCCCCCCTCCCCAATACCTTCTAAAGTTGCTGTAGTCTGTGAGAATGGCAGCCCGGTTTTGCGGTCAGCCCAAGCGTGGTTGTAGGAAGAAGAGGCTGGCAGCTGCTGTCTGTAGCCCCTTGGTGCCCACAGTCAGGGGGCAGGCGCGTGGTGGGAGGTGTTTCCGACTGGCTGGCTTTCCTCCTCCGGTCTCCTTTGCCAGAACCCTAAGGTCACCGTGTTAGCCCCCAGACAGCCGGCCAGACCTGGTCAAGGGAGAACTTCTGTTTTCTAAAGGTTACTTCCCTTGCTGTGCTCGGTGTTTACTGTCCAGAAGAACTTCCTGTTGACTCTGAAGAATCTGTTAACTCTGAATGGCCCTTCTCTCTGCTGGCATGCTGAAATGTCCCTAAAGCTGTCCCTGGGTCATGGGCGTACATCGTGGTCCAGGACGCACCCTCTCCTCCTACAGACGGGTAACACTTGCTGTCCAAGCTCAGCACTGCCCTTGGTTCCTCCTCTTTTAATTTTTAAAATTCCATGTAACTTCAAAAAGTTCTTCCCTCCACTGCTAGAGGGAGGGGTGTGCAAATCTGTGCAGCCTTCTAGAGGGCAGTGTGACAGGGTCTACCAGAAGTCTGAAATGTTCTGACTCTTTGGTTTAGGATTTTAATCCCTGGGAATTTTGTCCCAAGGAAACTAGTGGGAAATATATTCAAGAATTAGAAGAGTAAAAATTGGTCCAGTAGGGTTGGTTATAATTAAGCACCCCAAAACATTGTTTCTGACAAACCGTTTAAAGGATATAAGCATATACAATGCATGTTTATATATAAAATAAATACTATAAGTGTTGCTATGTGGAGGTAGCAGTTGTGGGTAATTTTTATTTAATTGGGTTTTCCTGAATTTCCTATAAATAATATATTTCATTCCCAGATAGAAGTTAACTAATATTAACGTATGAATGGTAAATTAATACACTAAAGCATCATAAATCAGTGGTGGGGAAGGGAATCGGCCAAGGACATTGAGTAGCTCTGGAGGTGGGAACACCTTGCGGCCTCCCAGCAACACCAATATACATTCTTATTAATGGAGTGAGTAGAAAAGAAGGGAAATGTTTTTTGCAAGTTTGGAAGAAGAAAGTCCCTTTTTACCTTAGGAACGAAGAAAATATCTTAAATCTCAAAGCAATGGAATAAATCATGAAGGGAAAGGTTAGCTACATAAAAATCAAATTACCTAAGACTTCAATATGTCAAAAAAAATGAAGGCCATGGAAACTGGTAAATATATTTCGTACACCTGCGAACAGTTTATCAGAAACTTAGAAGTGAAAGTTTGCTAGAACACACTAGTCACAGTGAACTTTGTGAAAGTTCATCAATTGCAAGCTTCTGGAAAAGGTGAAATGGAGAAGGGGGGAGTGAGAAATTGCTCCAGATGCAGAGATACTCAAGGATAAGGTGGCTGCTGGTTTTGTTAGACTGGTTGGAAGGCAGAGGAAGGTGAGTTTAAGAGAGGCTGCTGGGATCTTTGACATTTATTGGAAAGGAAATGGTAGGAAAACTGGTTTTAAGAGGCAGAGTTAGCAAGGAGTTCGGGTAAGAAACACAGCTCAAGGGAAATCAATGCTAGTCTCAATGCCTGGGGGCCAGGGGTCAGAAGGTGAGAGGTCGGCCCACTTCAGTACCTCAGCTCAGGAGCTTGAAAGGCAGTTGAAAATCAAGTAGACACATCTTTTCTCTTACCAGAACCACGGGGGTTTAGTGTTGTGCTTTCTTAACAGGGGCTTTCTCACACTGATCTCAAAGACTAAATGGATATTTATGGACAGGATGACACAGCAGGTTTGGAGCTGCGGTGGGGAGAAATGATTTCGGACAAAGGCTGAGCAGGCAGTTGCAAGTGTAAGGACAGCTTCGGTTTGAAAGGGACGAGCAGCTGTGCTGCAGAGTGGAAGACTGAGGAGTTAGGCTGGCCCCGGGTTCTCCCAGTGTGCCAGGGCTGCAAATACAAATGAAGAACCTCCCCACCTTCATGGCCAGCAAGTCCAGATTTATCTGTGCACACAGATGACAGTGTGAAGGGGCCCTGCACAGGGTGCCCAGGGGTCCTAAGGTTTTGCAGAAGGGCTGCCAAGTTTGTGGAGCTGCACCTCCACTGGGTGCTTCTCGGGGCCCCGCCAGCAAGCTTCGCTTTCGTGACAGCCCTTCTCTTCTCATGGGTCACTGATAATCTCCCCAGTAGACACAGTTTTATGCACCTTGGTATTCACTGGGTAAATAGTTATTTCTACAGTGAGAGTGTAAAAGTCCAGGAGAAACTTGTAGTGGAGCAAATGACCAAGTGGTCTGACAAGGAAAGGTGTTGAGACCAAAGCTCAGTGGCTTGAGGGTCAAGAAACCAAGCACTCGGATTTCAGCAACAAAATCCCAGCTTTTGGCCTATAGTGACAGTCTGAGAACTGGGACGTTGCCCTATAAATAACAGGAAGTTGTTGCAGGTTCATTTCTGCGCTGAGATGACACTTGGATTGTAGAAGGTTGACAGAGCATCTCATACCAACAAACAGCTGCTTACTGTCACCTGCCACTATGGTTCCCAAAATGACAAATGATTTATTTTCACTCTGGCCAGTTTCTACCAAAGGCAGTGGATTAAAATGTCACGGAAGATGGCAAAGTGGAGAATCCTATCTGGGCACCTGCCAGAAACTTCCCTTTGTCAAGAGGCCGGACCATCCTTTGAACAGCCTTGTAACCGGCTCCTCTGCCTCCACCTCCCTGTTCCCTTTTTGCTTCCAGGATGATGTTTCCCACAGTAGACTCTGTTAAGACCTCTGAGGGAGACAAGCAGGGCCCTTCTTGTCTCTGGATGAAGTCCACCCTCTTCGGCCTCCTCTGACGTGGCCCCCGTCTCCCACCCCACCTGATTCCTGTCTCCTCAGATCCCACAGGCAAGTTGTCAGCTGCTCACCCTGGCTCTAACTGCAGAAATCATCCGTATTCCAGCTGCTGCTTACACCACCCCTGCTCTCCCTGCTGGTCCATGCCCGCATCATCTCTGATGTGGACCGAACTTCTGTATTAGAGTTCTCCAGAGAGACACAACTAATAGGATGTGTACATAGAAAGTGGTAAGTTACAAGGAATTCGTTCACAGTAGTGGCGGCCCACGAGTCCAAGGCTGATGTTTCAGTTTGAGTCCAAAGCCAAAAAAAAAAAAGAGTCAGTGATCATAAGGCAGGCAAGAAATTCCCTCTTAATCTGCCCTTTTGTTCTAGGCTGACCTTCAACTGCTTGGATGAGGCCCACCATCAGTATCTGCTCAGCTCACCACTTAACCTCTCCCCCCTGCTATCCTCTTAACACCTTACTACCACCAGATCTATCAACCCACTGAATTTTTGACTGTCTCCCCTAAATCTAATGTAAACTAGAGCACAGGAACTTAACTTCATTCACTGTGGTACCCCCAGGATTTGGCACATTGTGTTAATATTTGTTGAATTAATTAATTGAAAATACGAACTTTATCTGGGATCAAGGCACTCTTGAATTGTCTGCAAGGCAGTACTTTGCTTCCAGAATACAACCCTCCCCTGACCACAGGTAACCCCAGGCTGGGCCAGGGAACCCTTGGAACCACCTCCCATGACACCAAATAGGAGTTTTCCTGTACAGGGACCTGGGATTTTGGGGTGCCCGGGATAGAGCAGGCAGAGCATGCGCTGAGAGAAGGGGCTTCTGGATCCCTTCCACTCCCTAACTCCATGCCTAAGACCCAGCTGCGTTTTTGGCCATAATTTCCATGAGATCCTCCAGGAGTCCTATTGCCACCTAAGCCGATTTGAGTTGTCTCTGCAGCCAAGACTTGCTCGTGCGGTTCTGCCTCCATCAGAGCGCCTTAAGGTCCGAGATCTGGGGCTCTTGCTCTCTGCCCTGCCGGGCCCAAGCCCAGGCCTGACGCTCACAGTGCCCGTTGGAGGCACTGATTTCTTCAACTGCTGCTCAGAAAAATCAGAGTCTGTAGCTCATTTCTAGATTTGATTGCCCATTGGCCTTCCGGGTCAGGGACCAGCCCCTGTGCCAGGCACCCTGCAGCACCCTAGCTGACCCAGTGGGCCCTGGGGAGTCCCTGTTCTCGTTCATCCCTGGAGGAATGGGCCCACTTTGCAGGCTGCCATTCCTGAAGCCTGCTCCCAGGGCTGCCCAGAGAGGCAGCCAGAATCTATGCTGGATGTGAACTCGCTGAAGTTCTGTTCCCATTTGAGAAGGGGAATTGTGCCTTGGGTGCGGTGGGTCCCAACGTGGGTGGCCATTTCCCCTTTAGATGATTCAAATTGGTAAATCACAGCTAGTGACCCCTCCCTCGAATCCAGGAGGATGTGGGGGGGGAGG